CTCAGTAATATTATCAAGACGTATTGTTATATATAACCAATAGTTTCTCAGTAATATTATGAAGACGTATTGTTATATATAACCAATAGTTTCTCAGTAATATTATGAAGACGTATTGTTATATATAACCAATAGTTTCTCAGTAATATTATGAAGACGTATTGTTATATAAAACCAATAGTTTCACAATAATATTATGAAGACGTATTGTTATATACAACCAATAGTTTCTCTTCTCAATAATATTATGAAGACGTATTGTTATATATAACCAATAGTTTCTCAATAATATTATGAAGACGTATTGTTATATATAACCAATAATTTCTCAATAATATTATGAAGATGTATTGTTATATATAACCAATAATTTCTCAATAATATTATGAAGACGTATTGTTGTATATATACAACCAATAGTTTCTCTTCTCAATAATATTATGAAGATGTATTGTTGTATATAACCAATAGTTTCTCAATAATATTATGAAGATGTGTTGTTATATATAACCAATAGTTTCTCTTCTCAATAATATTATGAAGACGTATTGTTGTATATATACAACCAATAGTTTCTCAGTAATATTATGAAGACGTATTGTTATATATAACCAGTAGTTTCTCAATAATATTATCAAGACGTATTGTTATATATAACCAATAGTTTCACAATAATATTATGAAGACGTATTGTTATATATAACCAATAGTTTCACAATAATATTATGAAGATGTATTGTTATATATAACCAATAGTTTCACAATAATATTATGAAGACGTATTGTTATATATAACCAATAGTTTCTCAATAATATTATGAAGATGTGTTGTTATATATAACCAATAGTTTCTCTTCTCAATAATATTATGAAGACGTATTGTTGTATATATATAACCAATAGTTTCTCAATAATATTATGAAGACGTGTTGTTACTGCTGTACGGTACAGCAGGCCAGGGCAGTTTACAAAATGTTTACCCCCTAGTGGCACAGCGGTATGTCTGCGGACTTACAACACTAGAATCCGGGTTTCGATACCCGTGGTGGGCAGAGCACAGATAGCCCATTGTGTAGCTTTGTGCTTAATT